TCCCCCCGCCCCCTCCTTCCCCGGGCCGGGACGCCCACGGGATCATCTCCTCACCAAGACACCACATTGGCTAAACTTTCCCGCCTTCTTTTTGATATAAGCATATATAAATATATACAGATCTATTTTAAAGCCAGTCCACGTCGGTCTGACTCATCTGGCTGTCGGAAGGGGGGGGGTGCATGTCTGGGCACTCTGAACCACAGAGAGGAAGGCCAGAGTGCTGCGGCTGGAACGGAGGAACGGGACACAGGGAAGGAGTACCGGTAACCGTAGTAATCCGCTTCTGCCTGCCTTGTATAGAAACACCCAGAACCAAGTGTACATTTTCTTTTGGTAACATTTTGAACAATGTTTATAATGAATGAATTTCAACCAGAGGATGGATTGAGACAAAAAAACCCACGTGTGATTGAGCTTTTTACAGTGTAGTGAGTTAGTGCAAACTGTCCGTCTGCGTGGGAGAAGGGAAGGGAAGGGGGGGTGAGGTGGAAGGGTGAGGGAGCAGAGGTCCACACACTAACATAAGGGAGTCAGAGCGCCATGCTGTACATTTTTCTTAGTCTCTGCTTGAAGTGATGTAAATAGTCTTGCAGCAGCAGGAGGCGCCCCCTAAAGGTCCATTCTGCTGTTTCCAGTCCAGCTTCTCCATCCGGGCCGTTCAGCAGCAGACGGCTCCACCGGCTCTTTTATTTATTTAGTTTTTTTGGAACGTGACACTAAGTGAACCTATAATCAAGCACCTGATGAACATTCCCACCGCCGTTTCCACTAGACCTGCCAATTGTGAGAAAACACCAGTCAAAGGTAGTGGTTATAATGTTCTGCTTGCTGTACGGTCCCCTTTAGGCTGCCCTGAAGCCCACGCAGCCTTAGCTAAACATCTGGATGTCACTGATCTGCTGCAACATTTCAGGGCTCCTCCTTTCACTCTGCTTCTGCTTCTCATCAACCCTGAAGAGGCTGAGGTCCGTTCATCTGGAATTAGGATTAGGAACTGATACCAACAACTTTGTTCTAAAACAAATTATGTAGGACATCGAATTAATCTAGATCTAATTAATTATGTAGGAGATCGAATTACAAACTAATTATGTAGGAGATCCCTGAGAGAGCTTTATAATAAACTGCAAAGCAAACAAATCTGTCTTTTTAGTGGATTTCATCAGAACATTGTGGGACATCAGCTTAAGGAGCTGCAGAAGCATTTCTCATCTTCTCTGCATCATTCCTCATGTCTGCCTCACCGTGCAGCTTGAGTCTTTCTTTCTTTCACTCTCTGAATCATGCATCTGGTTTGGAACATTTCTGAAGCAGACGAAGCCTGAATGTTTGCGGCTAATCAGAAACATCCCTGAGCTAAAAAAGAAACAGCAGAATTTTCCTTTAAAGTCTGGCGCCTCCAGTAGGCGGCACTTCTTACTGACATGTTAGCGGCCCGGTTGCAGCTCTGTTTCCCCTCTGGCAGGCTCAGTGCACTACCCACCATTTGTTTACACTCTGGATTCCTCGGACCCCCATCTAGGTCCTGCAGTGAAGTCCTTTTGGTGTGTTCATGTTGTGTGTGAGTGGATTGGAGTGGCTCTTTTTTGCCTGGTGTGTGTGTGTGGGTGTGTTGTTACTTGGTGAACCTGCGGTAGAGCTCAAATGGCCAAGGTGTGTGTGTGTGAGTGTGTATATGTGTGTGTGTGGCGGTGTTGCAGAAAGACTCAGAAGGGGAAGCCAGCATGGAGACGTCGCTCACCCGGAAGGAGAACCAGTTCAGCCTGAAGAACCCGAAGGAGTCTCTAGCAACACGTTACTCTGTAAGATGTTGCTGCTAACTGTGACAACTAGCTCATCTCTAATCATGTCAGCACTCACGGGTGTTCCTAAGTTTGGTTTGTTTCCCTGATGCGAATGTGTTGGGTCCATAGAGTGAATAGCTGTTTGAGTCGTTTGGATGTCTGCTACATATAGTGTAAGCATTGTGACTGCAAATAAACCTCATTGATTTTTACATCACTGCTCTGCATGTGTGTCTGTTCCTCTTCTCTCCGGCGCTCTGAATCTGCATAGAAACTGAAACTTCAGAAGCACTGATATATAAATATGTCATATAATATAAGTTAACAGTAATCTAGCTCCATAGGTCTAGGAGAAGGAACAGTTAAGCAGAGAAACTGCGATAAAACAAGCAGAATAGTGTAACAGTCAACGAGTCCAGATGAAACTACAATAAACCCAAAATGAAGTTTGATAAAAAGTGGTCCAAATGTCCTCAAGCAGCCTACGCCTATAGCAGCATAAGCTGATGAAGATTCTCAGTCATCCAGGTCGTAGTCATTCTTTAAAAGTTTAGAAAAAAATGATCTGCTGGACTTGGTTTTCAAGGTTTGAAGACGTTTCGCAGGAAGCTTTCTCAATTCAATTGAGAAAGCTTCCTGCGAAACGTCTTCAAACCTTGAAACCCAAGTCCAGTAGATCGTTTTTTCTAAACTTTTACGGTAAAGCGGCATAACTAAAGAGCTTTTATTCAGGGGCGGAGCTACATTGGGGGCCTGAGGTGACCATGGGATATCATTGGCCACCCCTACCATTTTTTTCCCTCTAATACAGACTGTAGCAGCAGAAACACTCTCGAGAGGGATGTTGAAACTTATTAAACATTTTTACTTTTCATATATTAATTACTTGACAACTAAAGCGCTGTGGTTAATTACGCACATCAATATAAACACAAAAAGATACAGAATTCCTGCTCTTTTTAGAACTAGATTGGTTATATGAGGTAAGGAGAAAATGAGGCATCTCTGCAAGTCATCTAAAAGTCTTCAGTGAAATCATAGATAAATAATATAATAACATAAACATCCATTAATGTAGATATTAGTACAGGTAAATATTGCTTTTATGCAGAACAATTTTTGGTAAAGTAATGACGGTGGAAAAGATGTTGGCCCCAGAAATTTGGTCCACTCTACCTTTAATTTAGACAGCATAGATGTTTAAATAGATGCGTCTATTTGTTAGCAAAGGCTGCAGGAAAGTAAAGTTTGTCTTTATTTAGAAAATATGGATGTTGTGTTCGTTCCTGTTGGAACTGTGTGGATTGACCCTGAGGTTCTTACACCTCTCTGCTTTCAGCCCCCCCTCAGTGTACATTGGTTTTTGACTGGCCACCCCCAATTAAATGTTCCGGCTGCGCCTCTGATCTTATTAAAGAATGATCCGCACTTTTGCACAGAGAATTAAATATTTATAGGGAGAGGATTCTACAACTCAGTGACAGGATAAGAGATT